CGCCCGGTTCCCGAGCCCGCTGTGCTCCTGGCCGCCAGCCCTCCAGCGCGGGGCGGGCCGCCTCCTGCGCCCCGGTGTGGAGCTCGGCCGCGCTGAGGTCCCTGACCTTGACCGGCACCGCTCGGTGCGCGGCGAGACCGTTTTTTCCCAGTGTCCCGCCTCGGGACAGCATTTGAGGAGCGGGGTGTCACCTACCATCCCGGGACGGGGAGGCAGGGGAGTCAGAAAGGTTGGGCCTGCGAAGGTCAATTGCAAAGCGCTTACCCAGGGCGGATGGGGGCCCGGGTTTGGTTCCCTAACACAAAGTTCAAGTTGGGCTCCTGAGACACGGTCCGGCCGGGCGCGCTGCTCTCAGAGGATCTGGGTTCAGTTCCCAGCACTCACGGGAGGTTACTCCAGCTCCAGGGAATCTGCACTCACATGCACATAGCACAGTAAAATAGATTTAAAAAAATTAGTCTGACCTAAGTGAATGGACTTAGAGAAGGAACTTTCCAGACTCTCCCACCTATAAACACTGATCCAGGAAAAGTCCTGCACTAGGAACCTGCTGTAAACACGCGTGGCCACAGCCTGACATTTCACACTGCCCTCAACTGTCGTAGTAGTGACTAGGTCCCCACTGCCACCGCTACCGCTCTCAGCCTTTTATTAGGCTAGATTCGAACTCCTGGTCTCAGGTGACTGTCCGGCTTCAGCCTTCCAGGTGACAGTGGATAAAAGCCGTGTGCTGCCATGCCCAGCTGGAGTAGTTAGCTCCCTTCTGTTGGAGCTAGCTTACTTTGGTTGTTGGGATTTAGGGGAAACAATTTCTGCTTGTGACTCCCTTTTTTTTAAGTTTTATGTGCATTGGTGTTTTGTCTGTGTGAGGGTGTCAGATCCCCTGGAACTTACAGTGTGAGCTGCCATGTGGGTCTGGGAACTGAACCCGGGTTCTCTGGAAGAGCAGCCAGTGCTCTCAACTGCTGAGCCGTCTCTCCAGCCCCACGACTCCCTCTTCTCCACACAGCAAGCCCTCATCCTCTCTCACACTGTAATCGCAGTAGCTTCCTTTCTGGCTCCATTAATGCCACCTAGTGGAGGACAATTATTGATCATTGTGTCTGTGAATTATATAAGTATCACACGCTCACAAAAGCTCCCAGGACAGAAGAGTCAAATGCTCACATCCAGGACAGGTGTTTACACGAGAACATCACTGGCCCTTCTAGGGTTACCATCATGACCTGGCCACCAAGTGGCTGATAAATCTGGAGGAACACCACCTCAGGAACTTATTGTTGGAGTCCTTCAGTGTTTAGTTGAAGACTCAGAACTGACTAAAATCAGCCTAGGTGGGAATCCATGCGACTCCATGTGTTCACGAGACAGTTCTGAGATGGTCAGTAGCTGGCTGGTATCAACCAACCAACATACGAAATTTAAAGGTTCACACAGCCACATCATAGCCACATTTTATTTTATGTGCATTGGTGTTTTGCCTGCATGTCTGTCTGTGTGAGGGTGTTGGATCCCATTGAGGTAGAGTGATAGACAGTTGTGAGCTGCCATGTGGGTGCTGGGAACGGAACCCAGCCTCTTGCTCTTAACCGCCGAGCCATCTCTCTAGTCCCACATCATAGCAATTCTAATGACTCGGTTCTCAAAATACATAACTTGTTGAGACAGGGTCCCATGTAGTCCAGGCTGGCTTTGAACTGGATGTGTAGCTGAGGACAAACTTGAACTCCTGACCCTCCTGCTTCTGCTTCCCTGATACTGGATGACAAGTCTGCATCACCATGCCTGCTTCCCCTACTTGTTTTTCTTACCTGTGTCATCTTCCAAAACTCAAGTTCAGGGCAGACATGGTAACTCTCATCTCTAATCCCAGAACTCCAAAGGCTGAGGCAGGAGGATTATGATGGGTTTTGAGGCCAGCCTGACTGAGCTAGAGACCATGACTTAAAAAAGCAAAAAATCAACCACTGTGCTGATGCCATCCTCCAGCAAGTCCTCCCCGTCCTCCTTGCCTGTCTCGTTGGCTCACCTGCTCCTAACTGTCCTTACATGTCATGACCGCTCCCTGCACCTCCCTGAAGGCACAGACTTCTTCGTATTTTTCTTGACCATCAGCTCTTAACATAATGTCTGTACTTGGTGGGCAGCATTTCATAACTGTTAAGCCGGGGAGGGGGGTCCTCAATGCCAAAATAGCTTGGACCATACTGCCAAGACGAGCTTCAATGTTTACAAACAGTCTGAAGGACTCCCTTCACGTTTCCTGAGACCAGGAAATGCTAGAGCAAATGAATCCTCACATCCCAAAGGCTGGAACTCAGCCCAGCTCACGGCAGAAGACACTGCAGTCCAGGTGTTAACCCACACATGCTGCAAGTTCGGAGGGAAGAAATCCTGACAGCTGGGCCAAGTGGTCAAGGATGCTTGCAGCCACGCCTGAGGGCCTGTGTGGATCCCTAGGACCCATAGTGCAAAGACTCCTGTAAGTTATCCTTTGGCATCCACACAGGTACCATAGCAAGCTCCCCTTACCCCCAACAAAATAAATATAAATGTAGTAACATTCAGGGGAAAAAAAGCAAGGGGCTGGAGACAGAGGGCTTGTCAGTTAGAACACTGTTGCTCTTGCAGAGGACTCGGGTTTGGTTCCCAGTACCCACAGGGTGGCTCACAGTCACCTTTAACTCCACTTTCCATGGGATTCAGTGCCTACCTTCTGGCCACCTCAGGCATGCACTCAGGGCACATACAATCACACAAAGATAAAAAAAATAGTAAAGAAAAAAAAAATACAAGGGCTGGAGAGATGGCTCAGAGGTTAAGAGCATTGGCTGCTCTTCCAGAGGTCCTGAGTTCATTTCCCAATACCCACATGGTGGCTCACAACCATCTATGAGACCTGGTGCCCTCTTCTGGCCTGCAGGCATGCATGTAGGCAGAACAGTGTATACATAATAAATGAATCTTTAAAAAAAAAGAAAGAAGCTGGGCGGTGGTGGTGCACACTTTTAATCCCAGCACTCGGGAGGCAGAGCCAGGCGGATCTCTGTGAGTTCGAGGCCAGCCTGGGCTACAGAGTGAGTTCCAGGAAAGTCGAAAAGCTACACAGAGAAACCCTATCTCGAAAAACCAAAAAAAAAAGAAAAGAAAAGAAAGGAAGGAAGGAAGGAAGGAAGGAAGGAAGGAAGGAAGGAAGGAAGGAAGGAAGAAAGGAAGAAAGAAGAAAAAAGAAAATAATCCAAGCTGGGTGGTTGGTGGCGTACACCTTTGAACCTAGTACTCAGGAGGCAGAGGCAGGTGGGTCTCTGTGCGTTCGTGGTCTGCCTGGTCTACAGAGTGAGCTCCAGGACTGCTGGAAGGAAGGAGGGAGGGAGGGTAGGAAGGAAGGAGGGAGGGAGGGTAGGAAGGAAGGAGGGAGGGAGGGTAGGAAGGAAGGGAGCCAGGAAGGAAAAGCTAGGAGGGAAAGAAAGAAACCCAATTATTTTTTAAAAGCAATGAAATTTGTTAGATTCCCAAGTTTAAAACAAAAATGTCTGCCCGCTGCCTTCTGGGTTTGCAGAGTGACAGTGCTGTCCCCTCCCCTGCCTCCGTGAGTAACACAGCGCTCTCCTTGGGCCACTGCAGCAGTCACCCCCCCTCCCCATCTTACTGTCAGAAGCTCTGTTCTCAGCCCTGGAAAGGGGGTGTGGCTGAACGCTGGAGTGAATGCTGCTCAGCCTGCAGGAGACCTGGGGTTCCATCTCCACACACACACACACACACACACACACACACACACACACACACACACCACCCAATGTGTGAAGGATTCAACACAATCAAGCATCAAAATTTATTAACACAAGACAAAGGAAACACATTCAATGAGTTAATAGAACACTGTCCAGCCAGATGTTAAATTTAAAAATGTATACCTAATCTAATTTCAAATAAATAAAAAAAAAACCTTTATACATAATTACACAGTACGATAGTTTGAATTTGACAGGGGTAAATATCATCTTGACAGAAAGTAAACAAAACAGCATTTAGGACTAAAAACTTCATGTGTCTTTAAGTCTCTTCCTCGGGACAAATCTCATGGCTCATCTACACATGCCTAAATCAGGACTGCTGAGTGAAAGCAGAAGCCTGCCGCGGCCTCTGGCTCCAGACACTCTGGGCTTTACATCAAAGCAGACAACACAGGGAACACGAAGGCAGTCATACTGGAGTTCCAGGGCAAGGTGACTAGTCCCCACTGCTTTAGTTTAAAATTCCTGGATATTCAAGGAAAGGAACTTATTTGGCCGAGATATTGAGCACCATGCTGGGGGCGGAGACCGCAGCAGAGCCTAAGGCCTCAGGCCCTTGGGATTCCAGGAGAGCATTAAGCAAGCATGGCCCAGGACTAAAGTGAGGAGACAGGCTATGGTCCCCAGCAGCCCAGCCAACACAACCGCACACTGGGAGGACAGGGCCTCTGTGATCACGGTGCATTCTGAGGCTCAGGTGCATGGGATGGCATGTGTGCAGCCAGAAGAACTCCCTGATCCACCCCAGTCCCCCTCCTGAGGGCCAAAGGTTCTTCACAGATTTCCAGGTTAGATTTCTCTTGCCAGGTGCGGCTGGCTGCACAAACCTGTAATTTCAGCACTGGAAGGCTGAGCAAGAGCATCAAGTTTGAGGCCAGCACAGGCTATACAGTAAGACCCTACTACACACACAAACACACGAAATTAAAAAAAAAAAATGGGGTTTTGTGTAACTAAGATAGTTTACTCAGCCCTGCCTCCCTGTTCAGCTGTCAGGAAGGGCTGCAGGCCGGCTGTCTCCGGCCTTTTGTTTTGTTAATGATGGACTTCACTGGAGGGGCAGCTTTCACTGTCAGTTCAACCAGGAAGTTTCCATTGAACGTGGAAAGGGCCAGAGTGAGGCCATCAACAGAAACTCTTCTTAAGAAAAAAGTCTGAGATTAAGGTCTGCTTCAGGGGTCTATCACAAACCCTGTCAAGAAGGGAGCCAGGCCTGATGAGGCTCCCCAGGGACAGCTCTCAGCTTTTGTCCTACTAGTCTAAACTGGTCTTAGGGGATGGACCCAAAGCCAAGCCGTGGGGGTGGGGCTGGGAGAAGCAGTCATTATCAGGAAGGGGTAAAAAGCTAGAGGCCTGAGGCAAGGTGTGGAGGCGTCTGCTACAAACTCAGCACTCCAATGAAGAAGGAAGAAAGCAGAGGTTCTGGGCCAGCCTGGGCTACGTGGGATGAGCTCAGTGGTAGAGTGTTCTACCCCAGTATTGTTTTAAAAAAGAGGACCCGGGAATGACAACTAGATCATCGCCCTAAGCGCTGGGAGCTGGCCACAGTGAGATGAACTGGCCACAGTGAGATGAACTGGCCACAGCTCTGTGCTTGAAGGAGTGATAGGGCCGCACTCCTACATGACAGCCACTAACCACATCTGGGCCGCACTCCTACATGACAGCCACTAACCACATCTGGGCCGCACTCCTACATGACAGCCACTAACCACATCTGGGCCGCACTGTCTTACATGACAGCCACTAACCACATCTGGGCCACACTCCCCAACATGACAGCCACTAGCCACATCTGGGCTGCACTCTCCTACATGACAGCCACTAGCCACATCTGGGCCACACTCCCCAACATGACAGCCACTAGCCACACTGGGCCACGGAGACCTGAAGTGGCCAGTCTGAACTAAACGTGTTTAGTATACACATAGGTTTTCCAAAACTAAAAAAAATTTCAATAATTTTATATCAAAGTAATAGTACTTTTGGCAAATATATTAAAATCATATGCTTTAAAAATGTTTAAAAGATGTGTTCAGCTGGGTATAGTGCACACATTTGATCCCAGCACTCAGGAGGCAGAGGCAGGACGATCTGTGAGTTTATCACCAGCCTGGTCTACAGAGAGAGTAAGCAGCTAGGGTTACACAATGAAACCTTTTTTTAAAAAGTGGTTATTAGGAAAGTTTAAATTACAGATGTGGCTCATATTACATTATTCAGACAATGTGTCCCCGGCTGGTGAAAACAAGTTAATAATTTGCATTTGTAAGAGTTACCATTCAAGATAGATTGGTCTACAGTTTTTTTCTTAGAACTTGCAGATTGTTGACATAGAATGTTTAACACCCAGGCACCTGCTTTGCTTGGTAAAGAATCACAAACTGTTTTAAGAGTTTACATGTGTCTGTAATCTCAGCAATGGGGTGGTGGAGTTCCAGGCCAGCCTGGGCTACGTGGAAAGACCCTATCTCAAAATACAAAGGAAACTAAACAAACAAACAAAAAAATAAAGAAACAAAGCAAAACAGTTTTAAGACTTCCAAAACAAGCAGGCTGTTTCCTTTGTAGATGAAGCGATTCCTGGATGGGATGTCACTCTGCCCAGGAGGCAGCACCCCTTTCCTGTACACCCCAACCTCCCTCATCACATGCAAACCAATCCTACCCAAAACACAAATGAGGTGGAGGCTCTGAGGTCTTCCTTCTGGGGAACAGGAGCTGGGAGGGGCCGATATGGAGAAGGGCCACAGAGGCTGAGTCATGAGACTGAAGGTAGCCCAGGAGTGCTGCCTGGTGAAGAGTCTGGTCTTTGCTTAATAAACCGTATTTTTAGGGTAATTACAAGTCTTACAAATTGCTTAAAAACACATTTAGTTTACAGGATGTTACAGTGGGGTAAATAATATGTATTATCAAAATAGTCTAAATAAATATTTACACAATAGACCAGAACAGGTCAAAGAGAACCATTCTGATTTAACAGGTTAATTCTTTTTCACTTGAAGTTTTCTTTAATTTTTAAAAATATTTCTGTAAGAAAAAAATAATAAAATTTAACTATATTCAAATACATGAAGTTTCAGACCAAAGGAAACTGAGCCAGAGGCCAAACTCAGTCCAACACTGAGTGTGGCCCAGGCACCAGTTATTTCAAAAGAGTTTCTTGCATACATCAGACTTCCCTGTTTCCTAGGAGCCTGGCTATTCTGGCAGCCCCGGCTGGTTAGTGTTAGGATGTGCGCATGTGGCCCACAGTTCAAGAGCTGGCTGACCCCACTGCCTCCCAGCCTGGCGTTCGCCCTCAGACTTCGGAGGACAGAGCTCACTCCTCAGTTTTCAGGGGTGGGGGAAGCTCTACACCTGCAGACACAGAGCATGGAAAAAGCGGAACTTCGCAATTCTCTGCAGTCACTCTAAATGCGAAAACAGTTTCAACACTGGCCCGAGTGAACTACCGCAGTTCCGCAGTGGGTTAGGAACGGATGAATCTTAGCTACCTTGAAAATTCCGACATGAGATTTCTTTTTTCAGCTCAGAGGAATGGGTTGAAGAATCCTTAGAAGCTCAAGCTAATTCTGGGAATACAAGCGGTGAAAACAGACACAGGCAGCCCTAGTGCACGCCCACACCCCACAGACAGGAGGCGCTGCGCTGCTGCCGGGCCAGCTGCGGGAGCCCAGCTACACTGGCCGGCTGCAGCTAGGCAAGCCGATTGGTCGGTTCCTTAGCTGAGTTAGTTATGCGCACTCTTATTTACACGATTAAACACTGGTCAGGTGTTTATAACTGAGAATTAGACACATAAAGCGGCTCTCACACAGGTTATTTGATTTGCTTACGGGCTGACTCAAGCTTGGTAGTTTCATATTAAGAAACCCCGCAGAACACCTGACTACGGGAAAATGGCAAAATACAGTACAGAGCGGGGAACTGTAGGACTCAGATACCCCTTCATGTGAATTCATTGAACTCCCTTACAAAAGTCTAAATATTAGGTAAAAATACAGGTCTGTATACCAGATGGGGAAATGCAACATGCATGGACCTGCGTCAGTACGCGCTGTGGCAGAATTCCCCTTTCCTGGGTGTTCTGGGGCTGCAGAACTGCACAGGATGAGATGAAGGCTGCTCTGGAGCCATCTTCATGTCAGCTGCAAGCCTGCCCCTAGCCGCGGGCCTCGGGTCTCTCTGAGCCTTAGGATGGCCCTACAGGCCCGCTACATGTTATAGGCCACATAGATAGGGTCTAACTGATCGGCCAGGAAGCTGTCTCGGAGGTGCATCCTCTGCTTCTCTCCTCTGGAGTTGATGGGGATGACCCCCGGGTCCACCACAACCACAACACCAACGATGAGGTAATGCTCTTCTAGAACCACATTGGTCACCAGAGGAACCAGGTCCAGGGCCTCCTGCTCAGAGCCACACAGCTCCACAACCACCACCAGCAAGTTGGTCCACGTGAACACGGCACTGAAATCCAAAGACACTCAGTTAATATTCATCCTTTGAAAGTACTCATTATTTTAATTTTATGATTATGGGTGTTCACCTGCATGTATGTAAGTGCACCACATGCATGCAGGGCCCCAGGAGGCCGGAGGTCAGAACAGAATGTTGGGTCCCCAGAACTAGAGTTCCAGCTGGTTGTAAGTGACCACGTGGGTGCTGAGAACAGAACCTGCATCCTCTGCAGGAGCAGCCATCGCTCCTGACTAATAAGTCCTCTCTCCAGCACCTTCATCTTTAAAACATTTCTTTCGAATTCATCGTGGGGAGGATTCACGTGCACGGGGTCAGAGGGTAACTTGGGAGTCGGTTCTCTCCTTCCCCATTTGGGTTCGGGGATTCCACTCAGGTCATCAGGCTCGGCACCAAGTGTCTTTTGTGCTATCTTCTGAGATGCACGCCCATCCCCCAGAAGTCTTTTCTGCTAGATGCCAGCCTTAGGCCAGCAGCCATGTCTGTGACAGTTGACCAGCTGACGCTTCCAGCATTTTCTGAGATCTGAGGGTGGGCCTGCCTGAACTGAGGACACACGTGCCTGAACTGAGGACACACGTGTCCGAGTCTGGGACCGGGTGGAAGGCAGAGCAGCTGTTCCGGGAGGAAGGACCGCACACAGGTGCTCACAGCTGTAGAGACAGGAGAGGCAGTGACGCCTGACTGTCCACCTGTCCCTTGTTGTGAGACGCAGAGTCTTGACAGAAGGGCAGCCAGCCAATGTTCTTCCCATGTACTCTTCAACTCAAGTGTCGTCTATTTGTCTGAGATGGTCTCTCTCGCTCAGGTGAGCCAATCTGTCTGACTTCACTTACGCTCCCCTGCCCCATAAGACAGGGCTTCTCTGTGCAGCCCTGGCTGTCCTGGAACTCACCCTGTAGCCCAGGCTGGCCTCGAACTCACAGAGATCCGCCTGCCTAGGCCCTCCCGAGTGCTGGGATTGGAGGTGTGCCCCACACCCGGCTGACTTAAACTCTCTTGAACACAATCTCTGCGGCTAGCAGGGTGTCACACATCGTGTGAAAGCGCTGTGAGGCCGACACACTCTGCACTGGGGGGTTACTGTATCAGAAGGTAGAGCCGGCTTTCGATATACAACGCTAAATGATTCCAAACATTAAAGATAGACAGAAGTAATATTTGGTTAGACTAAAGTGGAATATTTAAAATCAGTTAGGGCACCAACTTCCCTACATGCTTTTACACAAGTTTCTTCATGCAGAGATGTTCTTGCCTTGATCAATCTGGTTTTAGGTCTGGAGAGAGATTCTGACCTGGGCAACACACAAGACTCCTTTTTTGTGTGTTTGTTTTGAGGCAGGCTTTTTTCCTTGGGTAGCCCCGGCTCGTCTGCAACTCTAGATGTTCCTGTGTCTGTCCCTCAGTGCTGGCATACAGGTCAACATGCGCAGCGAGGACATCTTAGACAAAGGGGTATTTGGAAAGCACGAGCAGCTATCACAGAAACCGTGGTCAGGCAACAAGGGGCAGGCTGGAGGAGGACGTGGAGCTAAACAGAGAGGGAACCGCAGGCACTGAGAACCCGGAACAACACTCAGGAGGCAGAGGCAGGCGGATCTCGGTGATTTTGAGGCTAGCCTGATCTACAAAGGGAAGTCCAGGACAGTTAGGGCTACAGAGAGAGACCCTGTCTCAAAACAAACAAAACCAAAAAAATTCTTGGAGCTGGAGACGGCTCAGCGGTTAAGAGCACTGGCTGCTCTCGCAGAGGACGGGAGCTCTGATTCCAGTACCTGTGTCGGGCAGCTCATAACCACATGTAACTCCAGCTGTGGGTGGACCCAGCACCCTCTTCTGGACTCCATGGATACCCTCATACATGTGGCATACATTCACACAAACACACAAGTTAAAAACAAAACCAAACCAAACCCCAGAATGAAAACCAGTGGTGAAACTCAGTTTTAATTTTAGTGAGCTTGCCATCAGTATGATGTTGGCTAATCCCTGGGTGAGGGAAACGCAGGCAAGTTCCCGCGATGCACAAACCAGCTGAAATGGTAACCCCGTCCTTCCCACTGGCTTCCCGCGGACAGTGTAAAAAGCACATGCTGATCTGATCCTTTGTTGACCAGCACAAGAGAGCATGGCACGACTTCGTCACCAGTCATCTTCCTGTCATCTACTGATCGTGCCCGGGAGAGGAGGCGTCTGTGTGCACTACGCCCACACGGGGGTCAGAGGACACCTTGTGGGCGTTGGTTCTCGCCTTCTACCAAGTGAGTTCTGGAAACTGGGCCACCTCCCGGCCCAGGGTGAGCCTCTAAATGAGTGTTTTGATCTACAGTCAGTCGTTCCTACCACATTATACTGACTTCCTAGAGGCAGGCGACCTGCTAATTCTTCTGCCTACGAGAGTCTGCTCTTACAAACTGACTCAGTCCATAGCATCCCACCATGTTCCGTGGTGGCTCCAAGACCTTTTTGGCTCTGGTGAACAGGCTTTGATGGCCACAGTGGACCATGCAACCAAGATGGAAAGTGATCTACATATTCCTTAGCGTGGGACAAATGGCTGATTAGCCAGATCAATTTTCCTCATTACGAAAGCTGAAGTGGGAATAGCTGTATGGGGAAATTACCATTCGGCAATGCTCCTGTGGACTCGGGACACAGAGGTCTCTATGTCAATCGGATGGTATCGTAATCCTCTCAGCTCCAGCGTCTCATCCAGCGCACCCACCACATACAAGGCATCGTGACGCTCTGAAAGAAGGAAGAGAAGCATGTTTCAGATGCCACCAAGTACCATTCACGCTGGCATTAAGAGCGCAGGGTTGACGTCGCCAGTCAGGGCTGTGACTCAGCCAATTCCATAAGGTCTTGAGTCCTGCTACTTGCTCTGTGAGACAGAAATAAGGTTAAAATGCTGCTGTGAGGAATATATTTAGTTTGGATTGGAGAGATGGCTCAGTAGGTGTGTGCCACATAAAAGTGGAAAGAAAGAACTGTCTCAGAGTTTCCCTCCGACCTCCACATCTGTGTGGTGGTATGCATGAACACACACAATTTTTTTTAAAGATTTTTTTTGAGGGTTTTTTTGAGACAGGGTTTCTCTGTGTAGCCCTGGCTGTCCTGGAACTTGCTTTGTAGACCAGGCTGGCTTCGAACTCATAGAGATCCATCTGCCTCTGCCTTCCCTGGGATTAAAGTCATGTACCATCACCACTCAGCAAGACTTTACTTTTTAATTGGGTGTATATGTGTATCTGTATGTCTGTACATGCCCTAAGAGTCCAGAGAAGGTACTGGATCCCCCGAGCTGGAGCTACAGGTGGTTGTAAACCTCTTGATAGGGGCTGGGAATTGAACCTGGGTCCTCTGGAAGAGCTGCAAATTCTCTAACAGCTAAGCCATTTCACCATCCCAAATTAAAAAAAATAACTGAAATGATTTTGTAAGGTAGTTGACATGGTGCGTGGTACACTGTTCCGTGCTAAAATGTAGCCATTCTTATTACTGTTTGGGACAAGAACCCTGCTAAGTGCCAGAGAGCCACAAATGACAACACGGGGCTGGTGAGGCGGGTGAGCAGATGGCGGGGGACTGTCAACAGGACACACGCGGTAGGAGTCCCCAGACCTGCAAACTGTCCTCTAGTCTACACCCCCCCCACCCCCAGCCATCTTAGGTTCCAGCATATACACATACAATAGTTAGGTTAATAACTAAAAGTATTCTCTTTAAAAAGACCTAGCTGGGGGAGACACAAACAGGAATTCCTCTGTAGCAAGTTAAGAGGAAGACAGGCATGGACAGGCATGAACTCTGCAGAGTTGGGATACAAATGAGCTCTAATCAAGGATTTGAAGAGAGCTTGTAGAAATGTTGACAAGTGAACAAGAATTAGTCAGACATGGCTGGAGGAGGGGAGAGGGAGGACAGGACCTGAGACGGGGCAGCGGTCATGCACCAGTTTCCAGACTGAGGAGCATGGAGGTCAGTCTGGCCAGGTTCAACCCAGCAAGCACACAGAAGGAAGGAGGCTTCTGCAGTATTTTTCTGGTAAGAGTAGATTTCTTTTCTTTTTAAAGATTTATTTATTTATTATGAATACAGCGTTCTGCCTGCATGTATCCCTGCACACCAGAAGAGAGCACCAGATCTCATTCTAGATGGTTGTGAGCCATCATGTGGGTGCTTGGAATCGAACTCAGGACCTCTGGAAGAGCAGACAGTGCTCTCAACCCCTGAGCCATCTCTCCAGCCCGGTAAGAGTGGATTTCTGATGATGAAATAATAGCAGAAACACAGCCGCAATGGAGCAATGGTGTTTTCCATGTGCTAGCTCTGGATGTACCACATCACGTAACTGCACATCATTTCCGTGAGGCAGCGGACACTGTGCTCAGACTCTTGAGCAGAGCAGGTCGAGTGTCTGCTCACAGTCACCTGACTAGGGACCACATCCCTCATCTCCCTGCTGACAGCGGCTTCCCCATGAAATAGCGAGAAATGGGGTTGGGGATTTAGCTCAGTGGTAGAGCGTTTGCCTAGCAAGTGCAAGGCCCTGGGTTCGGTCCTCAGCTCCGGAAAAAAAAGAAAAGAAATATGGAGAAATGATACACACTGCTGGGCTAAGGAGAAATGCGCTAGCTGAGGCCTTTCCAGCCCATGGTGTTTCAGGAGCAGTCCTTCTGTGTGCAAATATAGCTGGTGTGGAGGATTCTGCAGTGGCCACCAACGCCAGTGAGGAGGAAAGTGTGCAGGGGCAGCAGAGGAGCTGTGATGATCAGCTGGGTAGAGGAGGACGTTAGGGAACCCTCCGGGAGAGCGTTGACAAAAACCAGGTTTCGGTCCACTTCAGAAACAATTCCCAGGCCAAGCATGGACGCGCACACCTTTAACCCCAGCGCTACAGAGGCCGAGGCAGGTGGATCTCTGTGAGTTTGAGGCCAGCCTGGGCTATGTAGTAACACCATTAAAAACAAAGAACCAACCCCCCCTCAGTGATGGAGGATGTTGTTTCTCCTGGACTCGAAACGGTGTGCCAGGGCGGAAGAGAGGAAGGAGGAAGGGCCGCCGCTTGCTCAGTGTTGGTGTCAGCTCTAAGAAGTTCTGCTCTGCCTCGAGCATCCACTCACCCAGGAGCACTGCTAGGGTTACCAGCTGCTCCAGCACCCTGTTCCTGACAGTCCTCAGAGGGCAAGGTTACTACTTCAGGAGAACGTGACTCCATTATGTGTTTGAAGGGTGCAGATGGGTGGACTAGGCTAGCCAGTGTTATGTAAACAAGGCAGCTGGGAAGAGAACGGGGTGGAAGATACCTCCAGTGGCTGCTGTGAGCTCGGTCCTGCGGACGAACCCAAGGTATCCCGTCCGGGCCCAGAGAGTCTGAGCAGCATCTCCGAAGCTCAGGCGGGTGTTGAAATGATCAGCCTGAAGAGTCTCGCTATCGTAGATGGTATAGTAGCCACTGGCTGTATGGGGGCTGTTCACCCAGATCTGCAAGAAAGGAAAGGTGATGACAGCGGTTTGTTATTGTTTGAAAATCTCATTTTCCGATTAAAAACACAAGCACAGCAGTATGTAGCTGACATTGACCTCCACCAGCTCTGACACACTGGACAACCACACAGCCGCATCACTGATATTCTCACTCTACAGGTAGAAAGAAAAGTCTAAAAAGTCCCTAAGATACAGGACTAGAAAGGAGCCCCACCCCGGTAGTTAGCACCAGAGGCTTAACCACTAGGCTGCACTGCCTCCCTGGGTTCATTTCTCACAGACTTCCAGATTCCCACAAAAGCACCAAGGCACAATCACTACACTCTGTGTAACCAAGGCACAAGGCTCTTGAGTTTACAACGTAAACAGGGCAAGAGCTGACAACTGACAGTACCAGCCACCCCTTGATTTGTTGACAGCCAGCCTGTCACTGAGCATTGCAGATACAGGTACAGTGCATACAGCTGTGACAAAGTCTCTATTCCTTCTGTGAGGTGCATACCATCGATATTAGAGCCGAGGAAACATGTCTGGTGAGGAGGGCAGCCTGCCCATCCTTGACAACTGGTAACTGGCTGAGGTGGTGTGAATGAGAACGGCTTTTATTTTTTAAAAGACTTATTTATTTATTTATTTATTTATTTATTTATTTATTTATTATGTATACAGTTTTCTGCTTGCATGTATGATTGCCTGCCAGAAGAGGGCACCAGATCCCATTATAGATGGTTGTGAGCCACCATGTGGATGCTGGGAATTGAACTCAGGACCTCTGGAAGAACAGCCGGTGCTCTTAACCTCTGAGCCATCTCTCCAGCCCACATCTGAACTCTTATCACCAGGGAACGGCACTATTTAAAAGGATTACAAGGATTAGGAGGTGTGGCTTTGTCGGAGGAAGTGTGTCACTAGGGGTGGACTCTGCCAAGCCCAGAGTCTGTGACTGTCTGTCTGTCTGTCTCTGCCTACAGATCAGGCAGTTCCTGTTCCAGTGCCTGCCTGTATGTCTCCGTACGCCTATCATGACAATAAGGGACTAAATTTCTAAAACTGTAAGCCAGCCCCAATTAACTGGTTTTTCTTATAATAGTTGCTGTGGTCGAGGCATCTCTGCACAGGATCACGGCAGGGGGGGGCTGCTCTCTGGCGCCCACACCGCCAGGACTCCTCCCACTAAGCTGTGGGTCCACAGGCAGTCCTCAGAGAGCTGGGGGAAGGAGAACAGAAGGAGCCTGAAGAGGATTTTCATATTAAAGCAAATACATAAATAGAGTTTGGACTATAACACTCATGTGATTTTAAAGATGCAGACACGCGGCTCCGCCTGGTTCCAGCTCTTCACAGGTGGGAGCAGGGAGCATTTGGCTGGTTTGCTTTGAGTTAAGAGGAGGGCAGTGAACAACTCTGAGAAAATTTCTACCCAGTCTTGATTTCACTGTCAGCCTCCTCCCTTTCCATAACAGCTTTCCAGAAAAAACAAAAACAAAAACAGATATTCCCAATGGAGGGAATGGAGCTCAGTCCAGTTCTGCTGGCTAACTGTTAGTGTGTGGTCCTTAAAATCTTGGCTAGTGATTTCAGAGTGAACATGAGATTCACACCTACCTCACCCAGGTGAGAGTCTCCCACAGGCCCTTTGGTCTCAGGATTAACGATAACCACTTTTACTCCAGGTAAGATCTAAGGATCAAAAGGGAAATACAAATGTTCAGCTTAGTCAAAGCTCCTGGCTCCGGCTTTAGCTTCGCTTACTGGCGGAGGCCTGTTTAGCATGCTTGAGGCCTGGCTTCAAACTCTAACCTTGCAAAACCACCAACGGCCTCTAGGCACTGGCCTTTCACTGCGAGGGACTAGAAATGGCAGGAGCTGCCTCACTCAGGGCCCTGATGCACTGTTCTGTTCGTTTCTGGTCTACCTTTCTCTTCTTGGTTGAGACCCAAGGACCAGGAAGTTCCCCTCTCCAACTAAAGCAGACTCAGGACGCCATCTCTTCAGAGGATGAGGAACTTCTGCCCAGGGCCACAGCAGTGAGGCTCTGGTACCCTTGGGTAAACTCTTTCCAAGACAAAACAGCAGGGGAGAGCACCTGGAGACCACACCACAGTCAGGGGCTGTAACTGGGGAACTGCAGCAGTGAGAACAGGGAAGACATCGTGGCCCTGGCGTCTCAAGAGACATCACACCTCCATCCTCCGGAGAGGAAAGAAACCAGGTGCTGGCTGAGCGGAAGCTTTATCCTGGGCCAGGAATGTAGCTCAGCAGTAAGCTGCCTGCCCAACATGTACAAGGACCGTTATGGGCAAAAAGACAGGTGGGCTGGCCAGCCATTCTGGTCACCTGTCATGCCCTGTTGAAATTGTTAGCTTGGGTCTCTAAAGCTGAGACCTACCGACTATCAGGGCTTAAATAGCTAAAACCTGGATGAAGGGAATGAAAGACAGTTCCCTGGAGCCTCTGCTTGCCCTCACGACATGGCATTCCTGAGCCCGTGTGTACCCAAGTGCAGACATGAGGCAGTTAATGGCACAGTCCACACAACAAAAACTGCAGTCGGCTCCCTCTGGGGTGACATTTGCTGGATAGATTACGTGAGATTCCTTTGGTTTTCTCTTCTCGGTGCCTCAGGATTCCTAGGAGGAACCTGAAACATTGTCACCATCCTGTCCTCTGTTTGGACAGTGCAGGGAGGAGGGACAATACGGGCTGGGGAGATGCTGAGGATGGAGGGATGGGACGAAGTGATGCTCAGAGCAGCGGCTGCTGCACAGGCAGATGCTCTGCCCCCGGGGTCCAGCTCCCCCAGAGCCAGCACCTCGTCTCCATCAGTGCTTAGACAGAGCCGACTGGCTGCTTATCTGTGTACTGTGTGCACTGAATGTTACCTTCTGCGGGGTTCTCAGTAAGAATGGCATGCCATGGGTTTAAACAATATGGAAATAAGTCCACATCTGTCTTTATCCTTAGTGAGACCATCCACTAGGGTGAGACTGTGGAGTTAACCTTAGGGTTTACTGAACTTCCAACCTCAGGCTCCGGCCTCTTCCTCCGGCCTCCCCTCCCCAGCAGCTGGCAGAAGAGAGTACCTTTCCAGACTCAGAGAGCAGGAGGCTCTGGGGGGCGCCCCGTTCCACAAGACGGACCCTGCAGAGGAACAGCAGTTAATGCATACAGTCTTTCTAAAACTGGGTTCACCACTACACCCGTCTCTCCAAGGCCTCTGACTGGCATCTCCTGTTCCCGCAGAGCAAGGCTTTTTTACACTCTGCACTCTTTTTTTTTTTTTTTTTTTTTAAAGATTTATTTATTCATTATGTATACAGTGATCTGCCTGCATGTGTGTCTGCAGGCCAGAAGAAGGCACCATATCTCATTACAGATGGTTGTGAGCCACCATGTGGTTGCTGGGAATTGAACTCAGGACCTCTGGAAGAACAGCCAGTGCTCTTAACCTCTGAGCCA